TACACTAAAATGTTTTTTTGTAAAATCTGCCCCCGTAAATACTAAACTATACAAATATCTATATATCAATATATATATATATATATATATATATATATATATATATATATATATATATATATATATATATATATATATATATATATATATATATATATATATATATATATAATAGGTAGCCCTGAACACTTAAGAAAAAATGAGATTGTACACATGTACTTGCAGAAAACAAAGTGTCAAAAGACTTTGTTAAAAATATAAACATCTATCAATTGAATTAAAAACAAAAAAAAATTATTCTGTACCTTAATAATATACGAAACATAAAAATAAACATGTTGAAAAAAGTTTCAAAATTGGAGGGTAGCCCCAGACACACATATATATTTTATTAGAATTGGAATGTTCTCAACATGTTTCTAAAAATAATGACTTAAAAAAAAGGTTTCTTGAACTCTTTTGTAGCTCTTAGAGAGGCAGATTTGATTAATAGCTGTAAAGTATCAGAGTACTAACAGTCTCATGTGGCGCATGGATGACGTCCCTGTTTGAAGTTTTGGTGTGCATTGTCAAGGCCACATTTGAAGCCATTTATTTCAGCTAAGGGTTTAATAATGGTATTTAGGCAACTGCTTGGACTATTAAATACTGAATTCTAACTGTGCTTTAACTATATAGTTTTAGAGTGATCAAACTCACGAGAAGTAATCAAACTGTAGTCATCAGAAACAACTATAGACTATAAAAGGTGCTTCTAATCACGGTTTGATTACTTTAAAAAATACAAGATCAAATCACAGATAATATTCAATAAAGTATTTAATAGTCCCACCAACTGCTTAATTGCAATTAATAAACCCATTATAATAATTGCAATTATTGAAAACAAATAATAAGCAGTAATTTAAAAAAAAAAATGTGTTGAGAACATTCCAATGCTAATAAATTATATATAATCTCATTCTTCTTCATCGTTAGAATCCCCCTGGTTTTTATGTAACTTTTTGGATTCAGGCTAACTTTAAATATTTTATTCTTTCTCTACAGTTCCAGGTCGAGTCACTCTTTTTCATGATTTTCTTCTTATTGTGCTGCTGCAATTTTCAATCATAACCATTGCTTCTATATCTATTATTAAAACAATTTTCCAAAAAACAGATATCAGTTTACTATTGCTAGAAACCTTTGCACAGTGGGAAATCACATGGCCTAAAATCAAAAAAGTTCAAACATGTATAATTGTAGAATTTGTTAGTGACACCCTCACTAAGAATTTTCCAATTTATGAAATTCTAAATGTGACAGGCTCAATGGTAATGGCTTCTTAAAGTTAGATTTTTAATGTTTTTTAGATAAAAATTCTTAAAATGCCGGGTTTTAGTAATTATCATTATTTTAATACATAGATCCTTGGAAAATTAACAATATATACATACACAATATATATTGGAAAGATAATAAAATGTTAAAATTAAAATAAAAAATTTCTTGAAAAAGTTGGTACTATAATTTTTTATGAAAGTAAAAAGTTCATCACAAAAGTCCTAAATTTCAACTTTGATGAAGAATTTAAAAATTGTTCCAATTTGTACCTTTTCCATATTTTGATATTTTTTAGTCTATTGTGTCTACTAACTAACTACTAACCTGTGTAGTCTACTAAACTAAAAATCTGTGGCATCATCAGCAATCTTGAGCGCTAAATAATTTTGAAAAAATAATGTTTTTATAAACGAGTGAAAAGTTTCTTTAACTAAACTAGACCCCCTCTAACCCCTATGCCGCACGCAAGGGGATGGGGGGGGGGAGGGGTTAATGCAGATCAGAACACAAAAACAAATAAATATTATCTTAAGTCTATAATTTACTCAATTAAGACCTAATATCGACATGAATACAACAATTATATTTTTGGCCACCTATTTCAATAAAATGTTCCCACTGTGCATTGTAAAAAGGTTTTGTCTAATGCCAAAACTCTATATTGCCAGGTCATAAAACCTCGTATTTCATTTCAAAAGTTATGCTCCAGGACCTTTTGGAGAATCTTTAACAGTGTATAATAAGAGCAAACCTGTTATTCCACCTCTCTTGCATGGTTCAAATTTTGTTATTACACCTAAATACAAAGCAAAATTTTTTGCTAAGAACTTTTCATCAGTCTCATCTCTTGATTCAACTAATCACATTCTACCTAATATAAAAGACAAACAGGTTGATCGATTGCTTGATAGTTGTATCATTCCGGATTCTGTATCTAAAGTCATTTTAAGCTTATGTTCTGGACAACCTACCTGTTATAGTTTTGCAGAAGTGTTCTCTGGAGAACACTTCTACAAAAATTCTGTTCTATATTTTTAAAACTATTCAACAAGCACTTATCAAAGTCTTCTTTTCTAACCTGTTTGAAAGCAGCATCTGTTATCTGTATTTTCAAAAATTCTGGAGAGCAATCTGACTCATCTAAATACCATCCCATTATTCTTCTTCCTATCATAATCAAGCTTTTTGAGCCTTTAAATCTCTCATCCTGAATCAAACAACTTACCTTTTGATTATCAATATGGATGCGGATTTGTTAATGGTAATAACTGATCGGTTTTATTATGCATCAGATAGATGAGTTTTCTCCATAAACTCTCTTCTTACAGTTTATCAGGTAACATCATTAAGATTATCAAATCCTTCTCTAACAATAATAGTATAAATGTTGTCCTCGATCGGTAGAACTTTTCTTCATTTTTAGTAACTGCAGGGTTGTTCCTTAAGGTTCTATTCTTGGCCCTATACTTTTTAAAATTTACATTAACAATCTCCCAGAAACACAAATGTTGGCATTGTTTGTTGATGATACTACCATTTATTCTTGTCTTTTTAAAGCCAACACTCTTAGAGGGGACCTTGAGCTTAAAAAAGATTTGATTTTCCTATATTTATGAAAGGTAATATACTTGATGAGCCGTCTACCCTTCATCTAGGATTAACTCTTACTTCCGATGTTAAATGTATATATAGTTATAAAAAAATTCGAATTGTTTAACTAAATTGTTCAAGAAAAATAAAATTTTCAAAAAAGAGATAAGAAATATCCAAAACATAACTAACCCCTGAAAATTTAGAAATACAAAAAAAAAAAAACAAATATAACTACTAGTCAAAATGTGTCAATTTACATCAGAAGGCAATAATTTTTAAATAGATATTGCACAAATTGTACCAACACAATTTTATACCCTTACAACAAAATGCAAAAATATTATTATGTCATTTTAGTGAAAGGGCATTAAGGTGTAAATTTCTTACTTAAAGAACTCTATGCAAGAGGTAAGTGCTTATGTATAAATAAATAAAATTTAACAACATTCTCTTAGGTTTGATAATATATGTTTGGAACTATAAACACTGTTTCATCCAGAACCACTCTTCCTGATAACATTTATTATAATAAAATAACATTTATTGTAACAAAACAATTGAATTCTTTGTTTTATCACATTTTTTGTTTTTTAAAATAAACATTTTCTGTGATAAAACAGTGTGATAAAAAAAGTATATAATAAAACTGTAATAAAACAGCATTTTTAGAAGACTATTTATAAAACAAAAAAAATATTTTACTACAATAGTAATATTAATAAATAAAATAACTGTTCTATTAAAAAAATTTATTTTGCAATAAAACATTATTTTGAAAATAATAAGGATTATTACCTATTTAGTATTGTTATGTTATAAATTTTTTATAAAATTATATATATTTATTATATATTACTATATAATGCTCTTTTTTAGAGGTTTTCAGTTTAAGTTAGTTTTTGCTTCAGATTTTTTTAACACGCCTTTCCAGCAGGTTGAGAAAAAAGTCTTTACTGATTTATAGTAATATAAAACATTACTATATATTAGTAAAATTCTAAGAAAAAAAAGTCAAAATAAAATCCCTCTCATTTGAGGATGTTGGGGCTATTCTTTAAATGGTCACCAAATCTAAACACCAAAATATTTTATGATTAAAATTTAAATCTAATGATAAATTTTGATGTTATTTAAGGTAGCCTAAAAAAAACCTACTTTCCCTCATTGGGTTGTTGGAATATTGTTATTACCTAGCTTTTACTACCACCATTTTTTGTAATTCATCATTTGAGACTGGTATAAATATACAAAAATTTAGAGTTTTTACCATATCTCATACAAACTTTAAATGACCAAAGTTAGCTTGAACAATAAAAAAATCTACCAGTGACATGTTTCACAACAAAAAGACTACAACACAGATCAACACATATATTATTGATTCTTCTTGTGTTAAAATTAACAACTTTTTTAAAGTTTCTTGATCATCATAATTTTTTGTGAAATATTATCATTTTAATGAATATTTGCAAATTAATAGCTGCAATTTACAACAGAAAAAAAAGTGAAAAAAGTAAAAAAAAAAAAAAAAAAGAAAAAATATTGTTTTCAACGGCTTCTAAATCAAAAGAACCAGCTGAAAAAAAAAATTAAGTAAAAGCAACAACTAAATCCATGAAATCATCAACAAACAATGGCAACTTTTGTGTTTCTGGGAGATTGGTAATACAAATTTATATTTTAATAAAACAATGATTTTGTAATAATATTGAATTTTGTTAAAAAAACTTTATTATAATAAAACAACATTTATTGGGATAAAACAACAATTGTAGCAGTAAAACACTTTATTGTAATAAAACTCATATTATAAATTAAAATAAAAATTATTATTATAATTATTATAAATAAAAATTTATAATAAAATAACATCACTGTACTAAAACATTTATTGTAATGAAAAACAATTGTTTTTAAAAAAAACATATTGCAACAAAACAGTGAAGAAGCTAAAACCAAATATTATATAAAGTGTGATATACTGTAATTTTGAAAATTCATATATATTATTATTATATTAACTTTAATATTACTAAATTCTATTTATATCTACCTGTCTATATATATAATTAAAAAATAATAACCTTCCTTGTCATCACATGTTATCCAAAGTTCCTTGCTACTGTTAACATAACACATATTGCGTGGGTTTTCTGCAGAAGCTAACATTTTATAACCAAAAACTAATTGAAAAGTTGGAGACAATGTATTAAGAATATCATTAGCATGAGGTCTTTTGGAAGGTTCTTGATTCCACATGGTTATCATCAACTTTGTTAAATTACTCAACCCGTAAAATGCATCAGCAACATTATAAAACTTTGGTCGATACCCGTTTTTGACTTCATTATCTATTTCCAATTCTTTAACATGATAAAAGGGTTTTTTAAATGCAATCAACTCATAAATAACCATACCAAACGAATATATATCAACACTAGATGTGTATTCATCCCAAAATAATCTGTGTGAAATCATTTCTGGAGCAGCATAAACTTTAGTACCAAAAAATGTTTTTAAACCACTTGGACTCATGATGTTCGCTGTTCCAAAATCAGTTAACTTGATATTAATTTTTGCTTCGTGATTAAGCGAAAATAATAAAATATTATCTGATTTTATATCGCGATGAATAATACATTTTTTATGCATAAAAGCTAGAGCACTTGCAATTTGCTGGCAAATTCGAAACTTAACAATTCTGGGGATAACTTTGGTTTTGGATTTATCATAAATGACAGATGATAAAGCACCATGACTAGCACATTCCATCACAGCACACAATTCTGGCTTCAGTAAGAAACCTAAAAATTGAACAATATAAGGATGATGACGTAATTTACTGAGCATTACAATTTCTCGTCGAATTTCGTAAAATTGATTCAATGATGATGAAAGTTCATCTGAATTGTTCATATTGAAGTTATAAAATTTGATTGCAGCTCTAATTTTGTTCTTACATAAGCCACTATACACTTTTCCAAATGCTCCTTGTCCCAGTTTGCATTTTTCATTTTGTTCACATTGAATATCATTGGGATTAAATTTCATTGTTTTCGGTAAATCTTGAAATGTAAGATCCGGACAAAATTCTGTTATATTTATTGTCCTTGGTACATGTTTTTGTTTGCAAAACACAGCACAAGTATTATCTTCTGAATTTTGATACAGTTTTTGAAAGGCATTAGTTATGTTAAACAAATGAGGCGGATTTATGCCCAAGCTCACACATACAGGACATGCAAGGGAAGAAACTACATGAGGTTCCTTGTGGGACATCAACAAACCTTCAAACCATTCATCTAAAAGTGTTCTAATATGATCAACAACATAGCTGAGAACACGATAGCCTAAGGAAGATTTAGTTACACATATTTCAATTGTTTTTCTATCTGCTTTATACAATATAGGTAGCTGTTGTACAGAAAAACTCAATTGTGGATGATTAAATATGACTCCATGATTCCAGCAACTTAAATAACCCTTGTCTAACAGATAAGCTAATTCTCCGTAATCATTAAAATGTTCTTCATAATCTTCATCATTAATGGACAGTTCATTTATAAGCTGAGATTCAATTTCATCATTTTCCTCTTTTATTTCCTCATTCGCAGAAGTATAATCTTTATAGTCTAAATTTGAAACAGTTTGCATACTAGCATTAAAGTTGACAAAATTATCCGTTTCAGTTATTATTTGCATATAGTCATCAATTACAGTATTTTCGAAGTCATCATTTTTGGAAACAATATCATCTACATGAGCATTAACATGAGCATCTAATGAAATAGAGACAAGTTTAGAATCAGAATTTATGTTATAATTAGTTTGATTTGAAATCTCATCATCACTGCAATTACCATCACTACAATTACAGTCGCTAAAGTTACTAGAATTATCCTTGATTAGCTCATTTACAATAGTTAAAGGATCACAACATTTTTCACAATATTGTTCAAAACTAATTTCATAATTGTTTGTCATGTTCTGATCAATTATATAATCTGATTTGGAATCAGTAAGACAGATGGTTTTTGTTTTATTTTCAGGTATTTCATTTTCTGGAACAACTGAATTTAATCCTTTATTTACAATGCTATCACTTGAAATTCTCTCATTCGAATTTGCTTCAAACGTTTGGATTACACAACCTTGAAGCTCTTTTAATACATTTATATAATAACTATGATGCTGTACAAAATTATTATATTCACTGACATGAGTAAAACAATTTTCATTATTTCCTGTAGGAAGAGACTTAATCATTGCATTAACATCATTATTGCCATTATCAAAATTATAATTAATGCCCTTTTTGATGCCAGAGTTTAATCCATTAAAAGCACAACTATTTTGGGAATTATTTATGTCGATATTATTATCATTATTTATGTCACTATTGATATTATAAACATCATTATTGATGTTATAATTAATACCATTAATTGAACTTTTGATGTCGTTATTTAAATCATTATAAACGCTGTTGATATTATTATTGATACCATTATTGAAGTCATTATAAATGTCATTATTATTGATGACATCATTACAAATGTCATTATTGATGACATCATTATAAATGTCATTATTAATAACATCATTATAAATGTCATTATTGATAACATCATTATAAATGTCATTATTGATGACATCATTATAAATGCCATTATTAAAATCTTTATGATCAGCATTGATGTCATAATTAATACAATTGTTAACACAGTTATTGATGTCATTATTTAAATCATAACTTGAGCCATTATCAAAATAATTTAGAAAGTTATTATTGATTCTATTATAAAAATCACTATGAACACTATTTGTGGTGGAATTATTAAAATTATTAACACCATTATCAACATCACGATGATTATTAGAAACACTGTTATCTTTATTATAGAATTGGTCTAAATCATATTTACCTATCATGCAATCTGTTTGATAATTTTCACTATCATTATTTCGTTGATTGTTATCATTTTCATCATTACCAGGAAGTTCTGAATTAAATTCATTTTTTACAACTACAACATCAGTGGATGATATCAAAGTTAGACATTCATCGTGTGAATTATTTGGAACTTTTTTATTACAATCGCTATTAATTTCTTTGTTTATACTATTGTTACAGCTGCTAGAATTTTTATACAGAGCTTTTGCATCAGGGTTAAAAATACTCTCAGGTGAAACAGTATTGCTTGATAAATTACTTGAATTGCTAATTTTAGATTCATTTGATGTTTCAGAGTTATTTGGAAAAGACTTTATTGGAAGACAACATACTAAATTATCAACATTATTAAAGACAGAGGGGTTGTTAATTGATGGCTCTATATTTCTAGATAGTTGTTGAGATAAATGAATTTGATTCAAAGTAAAGTTTGTTTTGGGAGAGGTTATAACATATAAAATGTTTGACGAGTTTGTTTCATTTATTTTAGGAGGTTTCTCATTTTCAAAATAAGACATTACAGCATCTAGCTCATCTTTTGGTAAATTGTTCCCAATTAAAGAAAATTTGGGCTTGGTTTCATTAATTGGTTTTGGTGATAACATTTCTTTAGTCATTGATAAAAAACGAGTAATAAATCGAGCCCAAAAACCATCAGGTATACAGCTAAAGAAATAATAACGAGTGAGTAGACTACTTTGATTAATCAACGCATGTTTTGGATCGTAACTTGGAAGTTTCGGTGGAATAAGAACTCTATGATCATCAATCTTACAAGCAATTTGGAATCGTGATAATAAACTTATACATATCTTTATTAAATCAGGATTTTGATGACCCAACTCTTCTTTTAAAATCAACTATAAAAATTAAAAAACAAATCTTTTAACTCAAAGCAACAATTTTTTTTTTTTCAATTTTTATGTGTAACATTACTAATGTAATATTTTTATTAAAAAATGGAAATTTATGTTGCATTATTTAGGCTTGGTCGGGAAGCGGGAGCGATCACTCTCGATTGCTGACCACGGAAATAATATTTAGTTGCAAAAAGCTGGCCAGATTTTTTAGTTGTTTTGAGAACAAAAAAAAAAAAAAATTAGGAAAATAAAATATCTTTTAACACGAAAAAACTTAAAGCAAAATAAATTGTTTAGAACAAATATTTTCAAAACATCGTTCTTTTATAATTTTTTTATAAAATTAAGTGACGTTTTTATATAAAGTAATATCTTATGCCTGTTTAAAAAGGATACAAATGTTCTTTATTTATCAAAGTTTGCAAGTTTTAGTTTTATCTAAGCTAAATTATTTTATAAATAAAAAAGTTAATTTTTTTAAAACCTATTTTATGATTCGCATAGTTTGAAAAGTTTAACACATTTGAAACAATTCTTCTAAGTAAGATAAACAAATGAAATAATTAAATCATTGAATTACTATAGAAATTAAATTAACTAGATAGAAATCAACTAAAAAAGTTAAAAATACTTTTATGACGAGGAAGCGAAACTGCTTTACAATATTGCTGATGATGTTTAGTGAGTGGGCTTTTTAATTTTAGTTAGCATTTAAAGCAGAAAAAAGTATAACCAGTTTTTAAGAATGGCAACTTAAGCGACAATAATTAGATTAAGTAAACCAATATCTAGAAACCTTCTAATATAAAAACCTTTAAATCTAATAACTTGCTATACATATTTGTGTTCTGTCGTGACTTCAGACGCAGTGCTTGTTCGTCCGCGAGTTACTTTGTATGCATATTTTAAGTTTAGTAACTGGAAACTTATTATATGTTTGTTACATAATTAGTTTTATTAACTTTAATGATTATTAATAACTTCATTGAAAGCGTAACTATTTTTGTAAGTCTTTGTTTACAAATTAAATCTGTAAAAAACAGATACAAAAAATTACATTTACTTAAAAAATACATATTCTTTAAATAAAAATAAATATATACTAATAAAACCTTTAGTTTTTAATAAACTTTCAAAATTTTGACAATTTAAATAATATATATTTAAAACATTTATTTTTGTACGCAAATAATAATAGTTGATTTACGGCTTTGCAAATGTGGTTTCGAGAATGAGCCATAGAATTAATAATATATTCTTAAAACAATGTATGCTAGAAATCTCAAAATGTAACAAATCGTGAATAATACAATTTCTAAAATATTTCAGCAGAATACTCTAGAACTTTATTTCCCTTAGTCAGCGTATTTTTTGAACTAATAGAATTAGTTTGTTCGTTAATTTGGCGGGTTTTTAGAGTTAGCGAATATTCTTTTTATTCTTCCGCACCCAGTGATATAAAGATATTACTAGGTTTTTAGTAAAGCCAATTTAATATTGCCCAATACGTAGGAAGCCATTATTATATCAGGCAAACGCTTTCAGTGGATCATAGTCAAATGAAAGGAAATTTGCAATTTTCAAGTTTTGATTAAAGTTGGAATCAAAGATGATTAGTTAAAAGATGATAAATGTGATGAGCCTATATCCAATATATTTTTATTTTGGTCAAAGAGAATTGTGTTGGTTTACAAACTAAAAAAAACGGCTATTTTAATAACCACAAATTGAAAAACATATTTAAAAACATAATTGCATATAGAATTCAAACAAAAACACTGTAATGCATTTACATTTTTTACATTTTAAAATTAAACATTTATAATGTAATGCATTTACATCTTTTACACCGTAATACATTTACATCTTTTACATTTCAAAATTAAACATTTATAAACCCTCAAGATAAGCTGTAAACCAGACAAATTTAATTGAAATCAAAAAATTGCTTCTTATTTATAAATTTAATGGCTTATTTTATTAATCTGTAAATAAACAATTTAGTAATTAAATTACAAAATATATTTATAGCATATAGTTATAGTTTCCAAGTATTTTATTACTATTTACCAAACAGTGTGGAGTGTAGAGTTTTAGCCTCAATTTAATATTTTTGATAACTTCTCCAAATTTGAAATACTTTATTTACTATATGAAATACTTTAAAAACTAAAGAATAATGAGAATAATTTCTAAGAATAATAATAACTTATTTGTTTGTTTCTTAATCCAAATGTTGACTTCTTTAGCCCTTTAGTGGTATAATCCTGGGCATATCTGAACAATCGAATTTTAAAGTAACATTCACTTATTTTTTTAACAAGCTGGCTAGAATGTAAATCTTCATTAACAGTCCAATATTCTATGTCATGGTTATCAAGTCCTTTAAATACTTTTTTAATCATGATTAATTTGTTAACACAATGAATCATTTTCTGCTTTATACTTTATGCAGAGGTGATTTTTGGTTTTTTAAAATCTTTACCACTAATGAAGAAGTCAAATATTTTTCACATGACTTAACAACAGAAATAACATCCCTTGATAGCAAAAACAAACCACCAAGATTTTTCACATTATTTAACAAAGAATAAAATTTCACATAGGAATGTTCGTATCATAAAATTTCAATTAATGATTGGGCACAAATATTACAAGAATTCGTGTTTACCAACTTTCTGACTATAAAACCAGAGATATATCCAAGAATTACTTCTTTGTAGCTAGTCATTTGAAGTTCATCACAGTACAAAGAAACTTCTTCTAAGTCAATATCATCCTGATCAAAATTATCAACATAAAACGACCTTTAGCTCCAATTAAGAGAAAAAATAGAACCATTAGAATAGGGTTTAAACATTAAGCAGTTTGCATGATTTAATTCAACTATAGAATTTTTTAGCAGAATTCGTTTTAAAGATGTGCAAGCAAATAGTAGTTAAATATGATCTTGGGAATACTTGTAAGTTAAAACATACTTAATTCTTTTTTTCTGGAAGTGTCAACAGATAGGTGGATAACTTTTCAGTGCTTTTAGCAGCCATAATTAAACCAAATGTCTTTCTTCTATGTAAAAGTAAAGGAATGCAATTTTTATCAGTCAACTTGCTCGGATAAGTAATTGTGTCATTTAAAAAATCTTTCCAATAAAGTTGATCATGAAGATATAAAGGTTTTTTAAAGTTTTTACTATTTGTATTTCTTGAATTGAGCATGCCAAATAATTTGTCAATAACTCAAATAAAATGGGTTGTATCATTTGCTCCCAAGAATGATGGATGTTGAGATACCATTAAAAATTCAATTGCATCAGCAACAGAACTGCTAAGAGTTTGGCCAGCTATTTTCAGATTCATTATGTGTCGATGAAATTCTATATGTTTTCTTGAAAGTTTGTTTGCAAATTTCAAACATTCAAACTCTTGTAATTTAAACAATGCTGTAATGTAATTCCATTTAATATATTGGCCATCACCATCAGTAAAAACACACAAATCATTAAGAGAATTTCTTGCTAATTTAAGAATATGACATGGATCAAGGAAAATGTGTATCAGTTGGTTGTTATATGAAAAAGTACCAACTATACTATCAACATATTTGCCAAACCGGCATCCAAAGGAGATAACAGAATTTAAATTGGTAGTTGTTCCACCAAATGTAATACTTTTGATATAAAGTTCATATGTCAAAGCCAAATTCAAAATGTTTTCGATAAAGCATGTTAAATCACTTGCTTTAACTTTATTTGATAAAACATAACCAATGGGTGTTTTCCAGTGTCCTCGTAAACCAACTAACATGAAAACTAATGCCTCAGTAGCTGGAGTATCAGGTTTGCAGACAATAATATCCTTGCCGAAATCACAAAAACCAATATCAGACCTTCTCAGGAAAAGCATGCGGTCGCGAGCCTTGAATGACCACCCATATATATTTTTTGTTGATAATTTGGCCACGATTTTTTTGCATATTTTAAAAATGACGCATTTTAAAAACGCATTGAAAAACAAAACTAGTTTGTTATATTATTTTAATTTTCTTAATAATACTTTATTATTGTAGTTATTAATGAGAAAATAAAAACATCAAAATAACATATATATGGGCAATACCATTTTTAACTTACGTTACACGGGCAACAACTTTATCAAATATTTGCTTATTTAAACTTTAAATTAAACTTTCAGCTATTTTGTATAAAGGTTGTTAGCCTAATGAATAAAATAAAATAAAATAAGCTAAAAAGTTTCGAGTTTGGCCAAAAGAGAGCAAACTTATTACTGAAAATTACACTTACACTTATGTTACACGGAAAACAAGGTAAAAAAATTGCTTCAATTTTTAGGTCTGATTTCTGCGAATAAGTAAAGTAGTTTGAATTAGAAACTTTCACAAAATGCTGAGAATTCCAATTTAAAAATTTTGTTAAAAAATCAGCTAAGGAAAATAAAATTGTTTTTTTGATACTGTATATTTAACTTAAGTTCATCACTTACATTATCTAGCGTATTTTTTTAATCTATTATTAAGAGTTATGTAACAAAAGAATTGCGTAAGTATTGAAAACATTCATTAAAAATAATTAAAAAAGAAATTTTTTAAAAACTGGTGGCACTCTTCCTGAGTGATTTTTTATAACATTCATGAAAGTCAAACCGAAAACAGTTTTTTTGCAAGACCAAGAGCAACTTTATTATTACTTAATTGAGTAATTGGTTTGTCGAAGTTTTTACTTACACTTCTTACGTTTATGTGTATTGCTTTATTTTTAAAATGCTAATTTTTAAAATGCTGCAAAGTATTCACATTTGAATTTTTTATTTACATCTATATGTCAAACAAAATAATAATACATAAACAAATAAAAAAACAATAAAATAAATGATTTTAATGCACATAAAAAAAAAAGTTTTTTTAATTCTCCTTATATAAAAAGTTAAAACCTTGTCAAACCAACGGGAAGAAAAATTAATTATTAATGACAATTCATTTTGTAA